ATACATAGTGTTCTTATCCACTTCATTTACTATGTATCAGCATAGTGATTTTCATGTAATCAAGCATCCTAAAGGCCTTACAAGCCATTTAATTACCTGTCACAAGTCCAATTACTGTATGTAAGCAGACTGCCTTGCTGCTCTGAGAAAACACTACATGCAGGCACTGATTTTATTAAAGGGCTTTAGTTCAGTTCATAATAACTGAACAGTAAGATTATTTATGCTATGATTCCAATCAAATTGAATTTGTACTGCTCAAAAGAGTAGTAAACTCCACAAAGCACAAAACCCTACAAGTGTTTCACCACTTCTGGCATGTGACAGAAAAGCAAATGCAGAAAGTTAACACTAAACAAATAGTGTTTCAAACTCTAAAAATACGAACTATGCAATTATTTTTTGCAGAAAAGATGAGACTGCTGAGTTCCTCAGCACCAGGGTTAGTAACAATATGGTTTGCTGGGAGGTTGGCCTTCCAGAATGCTACCGCGTCTTGCTTTGTTTGCATATCCATGTTGAGCAAAAGCTTGAATTTCCTGATTATCAGAGATTTTCTCCACCATTCACGCTGATGGATAATCCCTTCCACTCATGCAGCTATTTCTCATTTCAACCTGCAAGAGTAGGCATGCCAAGTCATCTCTGGAATGCGTCCATTGCTTGAACATATCTCACTGTGAATTCAAAAGTCAGAGGAAGCATTCCTCTGGCTGTGCAAAGGAAGTCACTCGGATGCACTCAATCACATTAAGTGAAACAACAGCAACTGTGAGTAACAAAGAGTACTACAACTTGAAGTATTGATGGACATCCATCAGATGTCAGAATAATTTGAGTTAATTTCACCCAAGTCAGCTAGTCTAGTTTTCTCTCCAGAATGTCCTGCCACAGTTACCATCTCAGCACTCTGTGTCTGATGCTCTCAGGCTCCTGGTGCTCCCTGCTCAGTCTGCAACCACTGACCCTTCTCTCAGCATGGCAGAAGCCAGGAGGGCTGAAGCACACTTTGCCATCTGCCTACTCCCTTCACTCCATTGTGGCTTCATTGTTTGATCTTCATTGATCACAAAAACTTTACATCTTGGCCCACCTCCCATTGTAAAATCCAGGCTAGTGACTGCAGTTCTACTAGAAATGCAATGCATTGTACCTTCATTTCTGATTCAGGATGAAATGGGCACTGCTACTGAAAAAGACCTTTCCATTTCCTTAGAGATCCTAATTTATAATGATAATCCATGCAACCTTGCTCATGTACAAGATCTGAGATGTTCAGCTTCTTATTCCTCCTCTGTTTCAGCCCAGAAAGATCAAACTGGATTCATCTTAGATGTTTATAAGAGTAGCCTTTTCAGTACTTCAGAGGACCCTGAGCTGTTAGGTGAATCACTCAACTATTTCTTTTGTCTAAACAATGACAGATTACACATGGAAATGTAAATCGTTCCTTCCATTCCTTCCAGAAAGCAACTAATAGAGTATTTAAAATAATAGAAAACATAGCTTTAATGCACAGGGTCTGAGCGTGTCTTCTTGGAAAAATAAGACATTATTCCATTAGGGACTTGATCATTTACCCGTTTTTTCTTTTAATATACACCACATTAAGCCTTTGATTCCCAGAATAGCACTACTGCTGTTTTGGATTTTGAAAGCAATTTCTCTAATCTCTCTAGTTTTGTTGGTTTTTTTTTTCCTCTGAAACACGTGGGTCAGACACAGCATTCTCCTTTAATATATTTAGGAAAGTGGCCTCAGTGGGACCTTTTTTGGTAACAAAAACACCCCGAGGTTTGACACAGCATATCCAAACTTCTGCAGGAGAAACAAAGACCAAAGTACTCAGTATACAGACTAAGGTGTTACATATGCCATTAAGTCTTGCTATCATGATGACAAAAGTTACAGAAGTTAAAAAGCAAAACAAAAAAAACCCTCATGCTCTTGCTGTACAAAGCTGAATCAGCAGAATTCCTGCCATAGGTGCAGCTGCATTTGTGTGCTTTTGTCATCTCAGTGTTCACTGCTTAGCAGAGGTGCTGATATTCTGGCATAGTTCTAAGAGTGACGTTCTCCAAAAATAGCTAAGCCTTTTGAGTTCAAACCATTTTTCATTTGGGGAGTCAGTAAACCACATCTGTCAATATCACTAATTTTTCAAAAATATGAGAGCAGCTGGAGCTGACTGTATACCTCAGAAAAAATTATACTGATGCCAAGTACTCCTACTGCAAAAGATGCATCTAAAATTTTGGAGAAGACAATTGAAATTATTTCTCTGTATTGTGAGTGCTTAATCAAACAAAAAAAAAATTACCACTTTACCTAATCTGGCCCTGGGCAACCTGATCTAGCAGTGGATGCCCCTGTTCATTGAAGGGCAGCTGGACCACATGGCCTTCAGAGATCCCTTCCAACTCTAAGGATTCTATGATAATAAAATAGCTGTCTGATTTATTGGAGGCATTTTTTTGTTTTGTTTTTGACCAATAAGCATGATAAAAAATATTCTCTTTCCCTGAGTCAGATGACCTACTAGGCAAAACTGCAACTATTGAGTTTTCTACCATCGCACACAACATTTAAAAACATGAAGGATCACAAAGAATATTTTTTAAGATATTTGGTTGTCCACCATTTTTCTCTCTGGAGTTCAAACCTCTGGGAATGTTATTGTCTCTGACAAGCTACAGATTGCAACATGGAAAGGCCCTGTGACTTGCTCCAGGTAATGTTGCAAGTCAATGTCAAGACTGTGAGCTGAACACAACTGTTCTGCATCCAGTCCTCCTTTCTGCATTATACTTCTTTTTCTAATCTCTGCTAATTCCAATTCCCATGATTTATTTTTTTTGCTGTGGGAATTATAATTCTATTGTTTTATTTCTAGTTCAGGCTGACTTTCAAATTTTAAATGGCTAAAATAGTTAATACACTGGGACTAGAAATTCTAATGGTAAAGAGTTTTGTTAATAAATGGAATCTTAGCATCCTTGACAAGATCATACATATCTTGGCATATCTCCTCATGATATATCAAGAATCACTACCTTTTTTTTCCTCTGAATTGAGTGCCATAGGTGACAAAGAATAAAATCACTACCTTTTTTTCCTCTGAACTGAGTGCCATAGGTGACAAAGAATAATGAAAATATGTCATACAACTGCTCTACAGTAATAGTAAATAATGCATATTCTCTTCATTTTTATTTAATTGAGAAAACATATTTTATTCATGACATTTGGAGTTCTGCCTGTCCACATCTGAACATCATTCACTTGCGGGGAAAGAAACAAAGGAATCGTCAGAACGTTCTGAAGACTGACATTTTTGTTACAACCAAGACCTAAAATGTCGTGTTGCTCAGCGTAAATGGCTTTGCTACAGTAGGTGTATTGCTTTTTGTTCTTGTGCAGACCTGCTCAATATAGATTCTCTCACTCATGAAACCCCTCTTTTGAAAACACATAGAATCAGAACAGAGTTTTTAATTGTTTGCATAGGTGCTAATTAAAAGGAAATGGTAGGATACAGTTTGCATAAACTTGGATGTCCAACTATTAGTAATGCTTTAATCGGCCAGCTTTGGGAGCACTGTATTAGTTTCAACTCATTCCATCTACCACTTTTCCTATTTTAAATAATGTTTAAAGTTACATTTCTAAAATAGTCCTATTTTTCTGATTGCAGTTTCACAGAACAATGGAGCCATTGCCACATTTGTCAGACTTAGAAAAAAAATGATTCAAAAATGAAGTATTGATCCCACTCTGCCTCCTGCAAACTTGACTCCCTTACATTATTTCACTATTGCAAAATCCTAATTCTATGCAAGATTTTATTTTATTTTCTGAAAACATTTTCTATCATTCAATGACAACCATGCTTAGGTAATACATATAAAGACAGGTATGGGTTTGTTGGTTGTTGTTGGTTTTTTTTTTCCCCAGATAGACTTTGTTTTTAAGATTGCCCCTTAAGAAGTCGGCATTTTAACTGATTAAAATCCTCACTGTTGATAAGGTGAGGTACAGCTCAACAGCAACATCAAGGCAAAGGACAGATTTACATTTCCAGCTGGGGCCATGGCGAGCTTTCTGCTTTGTGCTGGCTGAGGCTCTGGGAGTGCTCCTTCCACTTGTCAACTTACTGCAAACCGCAGCATCTCAGCTTCACGATTCTATATTTTCTGTCTTCTTCCCGCTGCCCCAGAACACCCTTCAGGATGTGTGGAATCCCTCATACATACACGCATTTATACAGATGTTACGTTTTTTCTTCAGCTCTCTCTCCCCGAGACCCCGTTTAACCCAGCGCTTTGCTCACAGCCGTACCCGGGGGCTGCTCAGCACCTGGATCTCTCTCACCTCCAACGCACACCTCTGGCTCAACCAACATTTCGGAGCCCGGCTAAGCAGCGAGCCTCGCAGCTGCCTGGCTCAAAATGAGATCAGCTCACGCTGACGGAGCGAGGGGCCGGGTGCGCCGCCAGGTCAGCACGAACAAGCAGGGGGTAATTCCAAGACCCGACAGGGGTCGGGCCGGGGGCTGCGGGACCACCACCTCCACCCCTCCGGGGTTCGCTCCGGGCTCGTGCCGCCCGAGGGCTCCGAGTCCGACCCCGGAGCGGCACCGTCACCCGCTTGCCGTTTTTCGGGACTTTTTCTCGCCCTCCGGCTACTTCCTCACGCCGAGGCGGCGGAAGGCTGTGCCGCGCAGGTGGCAGCCGACGGGCGGACCCGAGCCGGCGGCAGCCGGGCCGCGACCCAGATGGCTCTCGGCACCCGTCCCCGAGCCGCGCGCCCCCCGCCGTCCCCTCATCCCCCCCGCAAGATGTCCGCTGCGGCCCAGCCCCTGCCGGGCCCCTCCGCTGCGGCTCGGCGGCGGCGCACCCGCAGCCCCGGGCCCGCCCCAGGCAGCCGGCCGGGGGGAGGTCGGGCCGCTCCGGCTGCTCCCCGCATCCCGCCCCTCCCGGCGCTGTCTGCTCTTGAATTACCTGTTTTGATGACCCGCGCAGCCCCCTTTTTTTTTTTTTTTTTTTTTTCCTCCTTCTCTCTGCAATGACAATCCGTGGCCGGCCGCTCGCTCCCCCCCTCCCTCGCCTCTCCTCGCCGTCGCTCTCCCTCCTCCTCCTCCTCCTTCTCCTCCTCCTCCTCAGCGGGAGCCGGTGTCAGTCAGTCACATCAGCTGCCCGAGCAGGCAGGGAGAGAAATGCCCGTCGGCTTCCGGGAGTGCCAAATAAAGACAAGTCCAGAAAGAGAGAGAGACGGTGACAGAGATGGAGAAAGAAAGCGAAAAGTGGGTGGAGTGTGAAAATGGAAGGAGAGGGAAAGGCTGAGGTGTCTCTTAGCGGTGACGGCAGCGCGGTGCCGGAGAGGAAATGGCAGCCGTGCGGCATCGCGGTGGAGCGGGCAGCGGCCGGGCTGCGAGGGCACGGGTACGCGGCGCAGGGGCACCCGTGGCCACAGCTGTGCCGGCCCCGCTCGCCTGCTGAGCACGGCTTGGGTGAGCGGGACGGTGTGGGAAGCGTGTGCAGGCAGACCCAAAGGTGTGCCGCGGGCAGTCTGGCTGCCTTCTGCAAAGCGGAGTCGATTGTAGCAGCCTGAGCTCTGCGACAGCTGTGTCTGCGGTGGGGTGGCTGCCATGCAGCACGACTTCTCACTGGAGGCAAACCCACGTGCCTAGGCCTTGTGTGTCAGGATCTGTGGGCTTCACACCAGTGCCTGTGACCACATGGGTTCTGCACTTGTGCGGTGCTCAGCCACGTGGTCCCAAAAGGGGTGTGATCACTCACCTGAAATCTGCTTCCCCTCCAGGTATTGCTGAGCTGACTTTCTGCACAGCAGTCTTGGGGGAAGAGCACGAGTTCGTAGCCTTTAATGAAACAGTTTGCGCTGAAATGAAATAGGAGTCATTAGTCACTCACAAAAAAATAAATAAATGATTGCAAGCATTTTTCCAGGTCAGCCACGTGGCTGTGCAAAAACTGGTGGCAATTTTCTCTGTCAAATACATAGTTTATTTTAGAAGACTTTGTGTTTGACATCTGAGCATTTGACAACGCTGTAAAATGTAAGATAGAAATATTGGTCTCAGTTATGCAGTTCTTAAATGGGGGCTGTGGAAACCTGAATCATAAAAAAGATGCCATAGCTACAGCAGACCTTAGTATCTGTACAGAAATGAGATGTGGAAACAGCAATAAGCAAAAGCAAGCTGACTGCAAGGATCAGCCTAGGATCAAAACGCTGCTGTGGAAGTTGATAGAAGTCAGAACTGCAGCATCCTGTAGACAATGAAAGGAACAACTTTTTGGTGTATTTAAAAAAAAGAAGAAAAGGACACAGATGAAATCGCAGCTGTTTTTAAATAATGGTCTTGGCAAATCTTGCAAGCAGGAAAAACATAGTATGAAACTGAACACCTGGTTGCAGAAATGCTCAGGACACAGACACTGCTTAAGAGAAGCAAGAAAGAAGCTTAGAAGATCTCCTTCTGGAAATGAAACACAAAAAGTTTAACAAATTGTGGAATAACTAAATGAAAGCTCCAGATCCATATACCTTACTACAGAGAGAAAAAACATCCCAATACCTTTGCAGTGTCAGTGGGATAAATGGAAATTCTGGGATGCCAAATGCCCTCCAATTTCTTCATTGTCAATTTAATTTGAGAAAAATGTGATGCCATTAACTTATGAAATATTTTACAAGCTCTTACTGTAGGAGACAATCAAGCACTCCACATCACTCTTTAACATCACAGGCATGTAAAAAGGAGGGGAAAACAGTTGGGCATTTTTTTTTATGTGGAACAGATTACAGGCTACCAGGTAGGCAGATAGCTTGTGCGTCTGAAATAAATTCCCTGTAACACATCTTCCCTTCTGACTTCTTCTAGTGCATTCTTCAAGCGTAGGAGCTACACAAAACAATCAAGCTCTTTTGCTCTTTTCACCTCCCCAGGAGGACGTTGGCAAACATCAAAGGCTAAGGTAAGGAGGACACAAGAAGTGATAAATTTAGCTAGAAGGGAGAAACAAGAGCTTCTGTGATTGTAAAGTGACCTCATAATAAAGAGGAAACCCAGTGGCAAGTAGAGATATAAGATGTAGCTCCTGCCTGAAAACATATTAGAGGGGAAAATCTTGCCCACTTTGGTTTCTACATAAATGAAGACAATCTTAAAAGGCAGTTCTATAAAGAATTCCATAGTTAACTCAAGCCTAGCAACAGTCCCCTACAGGGAAGAAAAAAAAAGAATGAGAGAGATGCAAATTTTGGACTCTGCAAAATATTGAGTAGATGACATACTATTGTTCTAACCCATCCAGGAAAAAAAAAAAAAGAAAAAAAAAAGGCTTGGACTGCAATAAAAATGTGTTTTGAAACTGCTTGGCATTGACATCAAGTGAAACACTGAGCAAGGAAAGTCTGGAAGATCAGATTTTGAGGCTGAGGTTTTTTTCCTCAGTTTAACAATGCATTCATTTGTTGGTTTATAGGCAGAAAATAAATTGATGCCAGAAATCGCAACACTAAAAGTTAGAAGTTAGAGATTTTTATTTGTATACTTTTTTTTTTTTTTTTCAGTACAGAAAGAATCAACAACTGCAGAACCAAAAGGTTTAAAAATCTTCTCAAAAGTCTTCTGAAGTCTTCTAAAGTCTTTAAAATGTAGATACCATGCATTAATGCTGGAAGAAAAAAAAAAAATCTTACAATTCCAGTTCATGGCTGAAGTTATAAGGAGCTCTTCTGTGCAAAAAGTGCAGTAAGAGCCCTCTTGCTGAAAGGTATCCAATTAAAATACAGTATGCCATGGAGAACAGTATATGGCATTTAATATAACTTTCTAATTTTTTTTTTTTTCATTTTCCTTTTTATCTTTGCTCCTGCACACAATCTGTGCCAAGGCTGGTTTATTTTATTTCCTTTTTTAGAAGAATGTATTTCTGAAGTTGTGCAGGGATCCCAAAGTACGTGTCAGAAGCTGCTCTAGAGACACCAAAATCTCTATAGGATGACAGAATTGCAGCCTACTTAGAAGAAAATACTCTGGTGCATATTCAATTTGCATGCATGTTTTTTTTTCCACTGTTGAAAATGTTTATGGCTACCTTCTCACAATTTGTTGAAAATAAACTTTGAATGTATACAGTTGTAAAATTTCCCCGTTGATAAAAGTTGCATCTAAATGATTCATAGATGAGTTTGGAGAAAAACAGATATTGCTGCTCATGTCCTTGATTTCATGGAATTTGTCTTTGCTGGGGCAATAAGTAAAAATGAAAATGAATTTAAATTGTACATATTGAGGTGAAAACAAAATGGAATATCTTATGGAAGTCTTGGTAGTGTGACTTATTTGGTCTACATTTGAGTGCATTTGTCAGGATGCCCTTTGCTTACCAAATCTATTGTTTAGTCTTCAGCACTGGAAAAAAACGTTCACAGTAAGCTAAATGAATCAGTGAAGAAAGCTCTGTGGGTACCTCACACAGATCCAGTGCCAAGACACACAGATAAAAAAAAGAGAAGATTCTGCCAAACAAGTGGACTATCTGTCCTTTTTCAGACTGTGAAATAAGGCTGAATATGTCAACATCCAATCTGGTTGCCTATAAAATAAGATTAAGGGAGATTCAAATTATATTTGGCTGATAAGTTGTCACTGCACTGCTTGTCGTCTCTTCTCTGCATTCTCTCTTTGACTCTGGGAGTGGGGACTCTCATAACCGTGCATTAATAAGTTGGATGCTTCTCTTTAGGCATGGCAACATGAAAAGTTAAACAAAAAGCACGTGCTTAATATGTCATTAAGTATGTGAGTAGTGGCATCCTCAAGCAGCAGAGCACTTAGGCATTCTGGTTGTATTTAAGCAGCTTAGGGATGGAATTGCTCACTTGTTTATAATTCAGTATATGCATAAGGGCTTTGCTGAATCCAGAGGGAAAATGTCTTGATCTCACAAATACTAATTTTTGTGACTACTTTCACTAATGATAGTTCGGTGTTTTAATTCCTTTCTGTGGAGCTGTTCTATTGGGAAGGCTACTCAGAGAAGACCATAAGCCTGAGCTTCAGTTCTGCTAATTATTTACATTGCCCTATCTATTTATTATCATGAGATACAGGCTTCTAGCACACTGCTAAAAATCCTATTTTGATACAGATTTTGATGCCGATTTTGATACAGATTTCAAGTGAAGTTTTTTTAAATGATTTTAATTACAGGCAGAAATTTGCAAGGAATACTTTTAGTGAGGATGCTGGAACAGAGAATCAGAAGAAGGAAAGCAAAATTTCCAAGCGTGTGATTGTAGTGTTCTGTCATCTTCAGCTATGCGTGTGAAAGCTATGGATGGAACTGTCAAAAGGAATGACAGAGTCTCATTCATTGGTCAGTGTTAGTTTTCCCAACTGCTCTGGCTCATTCAAAGTGTCCCAGCATCCTCAGAAGTTCCAGTAAAACCAGATTACAATCATGTTTCTCACCCTGAAGATAGAAAGCATAGGGCCAGCTCTAAACTTTGTCCTGGGATGACTTACTAATGATTCCCTGAGATTAATGCTCTTGTATGAGAAAGCCCAGACAGTCAGAGCAGTAGAAGTACTGAAAAATCCAGACATGGGGAAAATATGATTTTTTGAGTATTTTTGAGATTCTTTATGTTGCTTTTTTGAGATTTGAGAGAATAACTAAGTCGTGGATTCAAGGTTTACTGTACAACCCACTGGACTAGAAGCTTAATTTTTCTTTGTCTTCATTATGTTAAATCACTAGATTCTAGGAAATGGCAGTTTAAGGAAAACACCAAGCTGTACAAAATTTATGGTAAAATCATATGAATTGATAACTTGGTTATTTAATTGTTATAGACAGTACACTTCATAGGAAATATAGCTGCATGAATAGATAACCAAAGTATTCTAGCAGACACATATTTAGTGTTGTTGCAAGCTCTTAACTAGGCCATACCCTTTTTCAGAGAGCTGTGAGTAAGAGATTTATGTTCTTTATCTGAAATTACCTGTAGTAAATTTGGTGCTAGGTGACTTTTGCTACTCCTTTCTGCAAACAGCGTTCCTAGCTCGTTTTGTCCACCTCCAAGCTCCTCTGCCTTGGAAGAGTGAGAAGTCCTTTCCAACACAATTCAGGCAGAGAATAAAGTCCTTTGGCTTGCTGTAGTCAACGTGATTGGGCTTGTCCTGTAAATAACCATTTAGCTTTTGACATTAGTCTTCTGTGAGCACTCTTGCTAACCCTAATATAGAAATGAGTGGAAAAGTTTTGAATGTCAGCATCTGAAATCTTTGACTTAATCTGGAAAGGTACTGAGGTGATTTGTGCTTTTTCATACAGCACTGGAATGCCGAGGGTGACAGCGGTGTGAATTTTCTTCTGCTCCTTCAATCCCTCTCTCAGCTATGGACTTCAGGACTGAGGATGTCTCAATTTTACATCCTGCTGCAAAATGAGACTGCTGGTATGGATCCCTAGGTACAGTACACTGTTTACATTAATATGTAGTTTTGTTGGCCTAAATTACTATTTTACAAATGATGACTGCCTAGATTAGATATGAGGAGCTGATCAAGTACAGCAGCACAGAGCCACGCAGAATCATTTACCCTACTTTTCATCTCCATGGCAAATGAAGAGAAAACATTTTTTTTCAGTACTCTGAGAGCTTTCTGAGACCAGCCCCATTATATATCCCTATCAACACATGCTTTTCTCATTCAGCTGAGGTAGAAGAGTTTCTTGTGGTAAATGAAAAACTGGTTTTCCTTTCATAGACTTTAGTTGAGATACTTTGCATAATGGCTTGCTTTTTTCCATTACTTTCTGAATTACCATCATCTGTGTACTGAGTCCTTCTATGAAAACAGAAGAACAAATATAAAGCCAGAAAATGATTCTGCCTTTTTAGCCAGATGATCTTCCAGTAGACAGATTGTCTTCTACTCCTTTTATTTTTTTTTTTTTTTCCCAAAAAAGGAAGGAGGAACAAAGGTTAAAAAAAAAAAGAAAGAAAGAAAGAAAAAAAAAGTATTTGTTTGATGCCTAAAATGGCTTAGAAAGAATTATAAATGTTTTGCTCTGCTGGGGTGAAATCCTGTCCCTCCTCAAATCAGTGTGTTTTGCCACTGGCTGATGAACTTTCATCCTAAATTTTCACCTTAACGTTTCACTTGAATAAATATAAACCGATGATTCATGTACTAGAAAAAAAATGTTTTGTTTCAAAACAAGTCATTTATTTAATTCTTATTTTCCTGCTTTCCTGTATTTACATGGGCTCTGTACCTACTGCACCATATTTCTAGAAGCTGTCGTTTTCTTAAGAGAATATTGTTTGCTCTGCTGAATAATTCATCTTGGAGATCTTCTTTAATGCCCCATCAAATGTGCCACTCTTGTAACTTCATAAAGGAAAAAACAAGGAACACAACATTGCAAAGCTGATTTATGAATTAGGCCATCAGAGTTAAAAATAAAGAAAGTGTTGGTGTAAGTAAGTACATCAGCTTAGATATCAGTGCCTCTGAAACAAAACTGTTAGCTCTATACAGATTTCCACTAATGTAAAGAAGATCTGGCTCTGACTTATCACAGAGTATGAAAAAGGAGCATGGGAGAAGCATGGTGACAATTAGATATTTAGATGTCAGATAATTTGTCTGGCAATATATGTAAGTTTTGAAGGAAAACAGAACTGCTTAGAATACAATATAAATTTAACAGTAAATAACATGCAGTCTAATCCAAAATTCTATGTATCTTATCAGGTTAAAATATAAATGTTTTAGATGGAAAGGAAATACTCCAGAAGTATCTTCATAGTGAATTTGTGGTCCACAAACACTTTTAAGTTCTTTATTGGATTTACGCATTTGTTAAAAGCAACTCCAGCTAATTTTCCATATATAAGATAGATTCAGGTACTGCACCTCTTATAAAGTGCTGTTTCAAAGCCATGTGTCTTGTGGTACTTGTAAAACATTATAAGGAAATAATCAAAACAGTTGCATGCTCGAAGAATGTATTTCTTGCAAAATCAAACCAGTATTAAAGGTGCCTATCAGTCCCACAGCATATAAAAGATTTTTGCTTGTATCTGAGCTGACCAATTCAGAAATGTCAGCCTCTTCCAGCCACCAGCTTCATTCAGCCTGTAATAATCAGCCAAATCATCATCTTGTGCAAGGGTTTTGTCTGGCTACTGTGACCTCCTGTGTACGTACCTTAGTCACAAGCAAAATTATGGGCTATACTGGGGGACCTCAGGCGTTGCAGGGAATGAACTGCTGCAAGTTCCTCTGTATAGCACTTAACAAAAGGAAAACAAAATACATTAGAGAAACAATGGAGTGAAATCTTCTAGAGAAACAAAAGAGAAAATGATTCCTACATTAACATTCTTGGAACATCAGGCTGATGTCCATCACCCATTCTGGTGAGCAACCCATATAATCCCTTCTTTCTGAGTTATCTATCAACATCAATAATTCATCACCAGTGTTAACGTGATAATTTAAAAAAAAAAAAAAAGAAATAATTCTGTAGTGTAGTTTTCCTAGGAATCTTCAGTGTTTTCATAGTGGGTCTTCCATACATCTTTTTGGTTTTCAATGTTATCAAACAAATATGGTGGTGAACCTGATGCTCCATACATGGAGTTTGTTCCAAGATTGATTTCTTCATTGGTTGTCCTCATTTTTAATGTGGTACATGTCCTCAGCCTAAAGGTTGTATGTTTTGTGTGGTCATTGGTCATTAGGTTAATAAAAACAGACCTGAAGGGCCTATTATTTGCTTTCTTTCGCTAGTAATTTAACTTGTCACTCTCCTGTTGGATGTCAGTTCTAGGACTTTAATCACTACCATTTTAATTTCTTTGTTTTCTGAAATACAAATATTGGTTTTGTAAAGGATACAAACAAAACTTAGATTCACAGTCACCTTGGCAGATATCTGACTGTTGGCTGGATGCTAACAAATATGAGCATTAGAACAATTAACTTCATGTATATTTTCGAGGAAGAGGAAAATGAATGAAAGCTCAGATCCTCAGAGCTGTTCAGGTCTCTTACAAGAATGTATTTCCCTAAATAGAAGATCACCAGTGCTGATTCATTTTTATTTATCTTGGAGCTGTTTTTAGACACTGGAAGTTCATACAAGAACCTTTCTGAGCAGAACACCTGCTGATTTTAGTTCGGTTTTGTTTACGGGAGAGCCCCACGCTTAAAGGTCTGTTTGTTACAGGATGATTGAAGTCAATGCAAGTTTACCCATTGACTGGAAAGAGCAGGTGGCAGTTCTTATGGGTCTACTCCTGTTCCAGCTGAAGTCAAGCAAGCCACTACTTTTATTTAATCGGAGATAGCCGTAATTCAACAAATAATTAGCAAAAATGTCAGTGCAGACCTCCTGAAGCCTTTGTGCAGCTGAGTCAGCTCACCTCCAAAGAATGTTGTTCACTTCCTCCAGATACCAGGTCTATTGACTGCAATAGCAGTAGCAGATGCTGTGTGGGTGTGTAGGTGTGCATCATGCCCTGCAACCTCATTCACTGCCTGTGGATTTCACCTTCCATGCTCCACCTGCACAGGGCATGATTACTCAGTATATACACAGCAACATTGGGTTCTGCCTGGTTTTTTATACTTGGTTGAAAAGCAACCACATTCTCACTTTTTTTTTTCTTTCTTTTTTCAATTTTAAAAATCTTTGGATGTTAAGAATGTGCTTGTGGCTCCCCTTACACAGTATATACAAATTTCTGACTGGCTGGAGAGATGTAATCACGTGTAGGATGATAAGAACAAATGTGTCAGTATAGTATTAGGACTGGTTTACCATGTATTTACAGAAGTGATCTATTTTGTCTGAGGAATTCCAATACCAGTAGCCATAATAGTTACCATTGTTATGCATATTGCTGTTAATATCTTCATCAATTACACTGGCAGTGGGGTCAAGTGCACATTCAGCAAGTTTGCAGATGATACCAACTCTGTGCAGTTCAGAGGGATGGAACGGCATCCAGAGGGACTTAGACAAGCTTGAGCAGTGGGCCCAGGTGAACCTCATGAGGTTCAACAAATCCAAGTGCAAGATCTTGAACGTGGTCAAAGGGAACATCCACTACCAATGCAATCTGGAGGATGAAAGGATTGAGCACAGCCCTGCCATAATGGACCTGAGGGTACTGGTGAATGGGAAGCTGGACATGAGCCAGCAGTGTGCCCTCACAGCTCAGAAAGCCAACTGTACCCTGAGCTGCATTGAAAGAAACATGACCAGCAGGTCAAGGGAGGTGATCCTGCTCCTCTACTCTGCGTTAGTGAAGCCTCACCTGGAGTAGTACTGTGTCCAGATGTGGAGTCCTCAGTACAGGAGAGACATGGAGCTGTTGGAACGTGTCCAGAGGAGGGCCACAAAAGTGATCCAAGGGATGTAACACCTCTCCTATGAGGACGGGTTGAGAGAGCATGAGCTGTTAAGCTTGGAGAAGAGAAGGCTCCAAGGTGACCTGAGAATGGCCTTGATATCTAAAGGGGAGCTTTATATAAAGAGGGACAGAAAAGAAGGGGACAGACTCTTGAGCAGGGTTTGTGGTGATAGAACAAGGGGAAATGGTTTCAAGCTTAGAGAGGGTGGATTTAGGTTAGATATAAGGAAAAGTATTTTATAGCAAGGGTGCTGAGGCACTGGAACAGGTTGCCCAGAGATGTGATGGATGTCCCATCCTTGGAGGCTTTCAAGGCCTGGCTGGATCAGGCCTTGGGCAACCTGATCGAGCTGTGCATGTCCCTGCTTATTGCAGGGGAGGAGTTGGAGTAGATGGCTTTTAAAGGTCCCTTCCATCTCTAAGGATTCTATGATTCTATGATATTGAATTGCAGTGTGCCATTAAAATATCTTAATTTCAGCAGCGGAGTCCTTTCCTGCAGTGGCTTCTGCCTTATGTGTGACTTTTTTTTTTTTCTGATGCAACCTAAAAACATGGAACCAGGGAACTACATATAAAAATATGTTATATATAAAATAAATACACTTGAAAAAAAAAGTAACATCATTTAGTCTGAAATAATTATTGCAAAGTTCAACAATGTAGCAACATTGCTCCTTTGAAATTATAATAATAATATGATTTGTAGTATCTGCAACTCTGTCTGAGTTATTCTCTGATTGTTTAAAATCATCACTGTGAGTTTTTGTCTCTTCAGAAACTGGTTTGACTGTCCCGTGTGTGAATCCACACCCTGCAAAAATGAAAGGCTTTGCCACACATTGTTTGAGTTTTAACCTGGTATCAGGGTTAAACCTGTTTCACTTTGTTGTTCCATTGCTTTAAGTGCAGTAGAACTCAAGGATTTCTATGTGATTGATTAGCAAATCGGTCTATTATAATCTGTCATGGCTTAGAACTTGCTTCCTGCAGTCTGAGCTGTGTAGTGTGTTTATATTCCACTAAAAATACTTTTAAC